TTATTTATTATTTTTATTTATTTTTTATTGCCCAGATCGGTCTCATGCGCAATGGTGTTCTGCTGGCTGAGGACACGCCCACCAATATCATGATCAAATTCGGCACCCAATCGATTGAAGACGCTTTCCTCATTCTCAGCCAGCGTCAGGGCAATGAAGATCAGCTGAATCAGATTATGAGCCAGGGCAAAAGTCCGACAATGCCCGCAGCAGCGCCGTTGCCAACGGAAGTGATCGATGTGCATGAGCCGACGGCTGAGAAGCCGCCTTTGCCGTACGTGGAGCCACAGAACGACAATTGCAAGAAGATTTTCTTTACGACCAAAGGACGCCTCAAGGCCATGATGACCAAGAACTTTGTGCAACTGTTCAGACAGCCCTCGTATGTGTTGATTGCAGTTGTGGAACTTTGAAGTTCCTATAATATGATCTTTATTTCTTTTAGTGGCATAATCTTCATGATGCTGTTTCCCATCATACAATTGTCCTGCTTTTATATGGCCATTGGCAAAACACCCAAAAATCTCGAGCTGGGCGTCTATTCCGGCGAAGTGAGCAGCTATTCCGAGTGCTTCGACGAGAGCCTGCAGACCATTTATACCGTCAACGATACCTGTCGCTTCAATAAGCTCTCCTGTCGCTACATCCAGGAACTGGGCGACGATATAGCCACAAGAAAGTATTATCCCTCAGAGGAGGCTGCCTATGCGGATGCCAGAAAAGCCAACACTGTGGGCTATATATATTTCTCTCACAACTTCAGTGCTTCGGTTTATGAATATATTGAGGATAGCATCTATGCCTCGGATGGTGCTATTGACAATTCCGAAATTGTTGTCCACATCGATATGACCGGTGAGTCTATCCATGGCATATATAAAAAAACATATCTCATTACATGTTGTCCTCGCTCAATTGCCTTTACAGATCAACAAGTTGGCTACTTCATGCAACGAAAGCTTCGGGACACGTTTAGTACATTTATGAATACCGTTGTTCGCGAGTGTAATGTATCGGCTGCCTTGGTTAAGTTGCCAGTACAGTTTCAGGATCCCATCTATGGCAGTACGGACATTGAGTTTCAACAGTATTGTGCTCCTGGAGTGGTTATGACGTGAGTATATAAGAGAATCAGCAGGTATTTATAATCGACTAATCGATATAAGTTGTTGCTCGTTAACACTTGAAAAGTATCGCTAAGCAACTTAACTATCGATTATGATAATTTGTATAACTCGTTTACTTCCATTTATATATTTAAAGAAACAAACTAATTTGATTATTCGTTAAATATGAATATATCCTCTATATATTTCCGACTCACTTTTTCAGTCCCTTTAGCAATTGTGAAAATCTCTTATAAAACTTTTTTGCCCACACGGAACTGATTGAACCCTATTGATATATACATAAGTCTACTCGTTCACCTGAATATTTACTCCCATATTTTCTAATTTTCTAACTTTTGACTAAAATTTTTTAAAACCTAATCGAATCTATTGGTAAATAAAGATATCGATTGGTATAACATTTGATTAACAAAACGGTTTGATCTTACTAACTAACTTTCTTTGTAACTATTTAATATATTTTTTCCCAATCAGCATGGTATTTTTCTTGGCTACTTTGATGACGGCAGCCGTATTTATTTCGGAGCGCATGGACGGCATCTGGGATCGTACCCTCTTGGCTGGTGTTTCGGCCACCGAAATGCTGTGGGGTCATCTGCTGACACAGTTAATTATTATGGCACTACAGTCGTTCGAGGTCATCGTCTACATTGGCATCGTATTCGATACGTACAACAATGGAGATACAACTACGCTAATAGGACTGTTAACGCTGACAGCTTTCTGCGGCATGTTGTTTGGTAGATAAACACGCTTAGCTATAGAAATGCCATGGAACTAATTTGTATTTTATTATCTCTTTGGCAGGTCTTTTCATCTCGGTCTTTTGCAAATCGCACACGGAGGCTAATTTTGTGGCCACTGGAGCTTTCTATCCCATGATTATACTCTGCGGTAGGTCTTCGCATATCTAATGAAAATTATGTCTCCATATAATTATATCTAATCTCTGGTTTTCGTGTAGGTCTTCTGTGGCCGTTGGAGAGCATGCCGGCATTCCTGCAGGATTTGGTAATGGTTTTGCCATTTACTATACCCTCAATATCGGCTAGAAATGTCATCGAGAAAGGCTGGAGCATTACCCACGAGAAGGTCTATAACGGCTTCCTCGTTATGGCCGGCTGGACGATAATCTTCTTTGTGCTCTGTCTGATGGGCATCAGACGCAAGGCGTAGTGGGCTGTATTCAACATTGGGGTTAACTTCTAGAAGTTGTAGCATATTAGCATTTCCCATTTAGGCGATTTCATATATAAATCTTTATATATTTGTTATAGTATCTATATAATTTAAGAATTATCAGACACATATCACTCGCATGTCGCAGACTCTCATCTTAAAAAAAAAAAAAAAAACAAGCTCATTGATGCAATTTTTAGACAGCATTTGCGTTGCCTTGGGGATTTTCAATATAGAGTTGTATATGTTCAAAATTCGGCAGCCCAATGTCAGACTGTACTAAAATCATTATGGTTTAAGGGATGTCTCACAAATATTTATAGTACACAGCACATTATTCATGAACGAATCGTTTCAAGCTTAAGCATGAACGAAACAAAAGATATACATGTACTAAATTTTAGAACATGTTCTTACGTTAATCGCAACCTATGTAAATAGCCCAAATATTATAAAAAAAAAAAAAACATATACATAATATCTTTTATGCTTAAGAATTTAGCAGGCATTGCACTTAATGAGGTGTTCTAAAATGTTGCTATAAAATGCAAGTTCTTTAAAACGAAATTTGAATGCTACCAAAAATAATAAACAAACAAAAAACTACAACAAATAAATATATTCAATGGAATATCGAACTTTAAAACAGTGTTTTTTTTTTTTTTAAATCTGTAGTAATTATTTTGATGGTGTGCTAAAAGCAATGTAAACTAAAACTATAATTAAACGGGGAAGTTTTTAGAACGTGGGATGAGACAGTATTAATATAAATATGTACTCAAATATATTAAAAGACATCAAATATGAAAAGTTAAGTCGGAGTGAATTTCTAGAGCATGTACTAAAACGGTACTAAAACTTTATACAAGGGCGTGTCTTTTAATTGTGGTCTAAGCTTAATGATAAATGCAATGATACAAAACAGATTAAGCTCCTTAAATTTTAAATTTTGCTTAAAGCACTCAACCAGAATAAACACATTAAAGTGAAAGGAAAATATTACTGTCAACAAGTTTTTCAATGCTCGCTTTTAAATGTGTATAAAATGCAAACCAGCGCAAAACTAAAGCGAAAGTTCCCTACCCTCAACTAATGTATATATAAATATCAGAAAGTGTTTGTCTGAGTGGGGGCCAAGGACAAGGACATGTTCACGACGACGCCGAGGACGACGACGACGATGAAGAGGAAGTCGAGGACGTGGCAAAGTTGCTGACACACTTCGGGCTTGAAAATTGCTAGACAAAATGTCTGTCCGGCTGGCTGGGGCTGAGCAGACCCTGAGCCCCCTAACATCCCTCCTAACCCTCCCGCTGGCTGGCTGTGTCTGCCGGTGTCTACGAGCAGACATTTTTATTACAAAACTTTATCTTTGCCAAATACGAAAACGTCGACGACGACGACGATGACGAAGAGAAAAATACAAAAAGACCAACGCTCGTGCAGCTGCTGTGGGCGGTGGGCGGTGGGCGGACCGACGAGGTGGCCAAAGTGTCGTCTGCCATTTATATAAGTTGCATAAAATGTGCGCAGCAAAAAAAACAAAAGTAAATAAAAGTAAAAGTTTTCCCACTGCATTTGCGGTCACAGTGTGCGTGCTTCAAACTTGTTGCTCGGAAAATCAGGACGAACAGAAAAATGAGATGAAAATTGAGAATGAGATGTGAGTTGAGCAAATATTGAGAACATTTAATGGAGTAAGTAGCAAGAGTTGAGTAAAATAAGTTTGATATTTTATTTACAAATGGAAAGTTCAAACTTATTTTGCTCAAATTTCATTTTACATATTATAATTCTATAGGCCAGCACTACAATTTTAATTAGCAGTAAAAAATACTTTTGATTGAATTTTGATTACAGAATAAATATATATAAAATGTAACATAACAAAATTTTATTTTGATTTATTTGTTTTTATTTATTTA